TTCTTTCATTACATCTTCTCCGTCGCAAAACTTCATGCGGCATGTATTCAAGACGCCTATAACTCCAGCTTCAGCCAAATGGTCTTCCAGATCAGATGGGCGGGGGAACTCTATTTTGCCGGACACGGTCAACACACCCAGTATTACATCAGTCAATTCTCCTTCAGTCACTTCAATTCCGCAGTCATTTCATTCTTTTCAGTCTTGTTGGTTGCCTTCCAATGCTACATGCAACAGAAACTAACGCAACTCAAGCAGATCCTAATCTCATTCAGCCCTTCCCGTTCGCACCTCAGAGCCCATACCCTGAGATTAGGGCTACTTCATCTCCCTACTTCCCTATTGTCGAGCAGCCGCCTTCCCCAGCTCTCTCTCAACTCTCATCGCGCACCCAGAGTCCCGGTTCGGCACATATTAAAGGGGGTAGCGCTAGCCCATACCTACACACTCAACGATATCAGCCTTACCCTCAACCTGGCGGACAACGGCGAGGCTCCGTCGTCTCTGTCCAATCACAAAACTCAGGCACCAGCCGCAAGAGCGGAAGTAGCTATGACAAGGATGAGACCCGCGAAAAGGGCATGTGCCCACTGCCCGAGTGTGGACGCGTCTTCAAAGACCTGAAGGCGCACATGCTCACACACCGTGCTGAACGACCAGAGAAATGCCCCATCGCGACCTGCGAATACTACTCGAAGGGTTTCGCAAGGAAGTATGATAAGAATCGCCACACACTCACCCACTACAAGGGCACCATGGTCTGCGGCTTCTGTCCAGGTAGCGGTTCAGCGGCTGAGAAGTCGTTCAACCGCGCTGATGTCTTCAAGAGGCATCTCACATCTGTTCACGGTGTCGAGCAGAACCCTCCCAACAGCCGCAAGAAGAGCCCATCTGGCCGCAAGGCTTTCGGTGGCTCGCAGCCCAGTGTTGCTGGTACTTGCTCCACTTGCTCGGTCACCTTTGCCAACGCGCAAGAGTTCTACGAGCACTTGGACGACTGTGTGCTCCGCGTCGTTCAACAAACCGATCCCAGCGAGGCCATCAACCAACGCCTGCTCACATCGGTTGCAGAGGACCCAGACGTCACCGAGACACTTGACCGCAATGGTCTGTCTAAGAGCATCGAGTACACTGTCCCCAGCTACGATGAAGACGAAGAGGATGACTTCGAGGAAGACGAGGTCGACAATGACGACCACGAAGATGCCACTTACGGTTCTCGTCGCGCTCGCTCCGGCAAGGGCGCAATCAAGTCCTCCAAACAACATTGACAATTAACACATCCCCGAGGTGTCGGCGCAACGCAGCACGTCGGGGGTGGCAACCACCTACCAAACCACCAATCCTCCTCTCGCGTCCAGAAGTCGGGTCCTCGGGCCGGCCTTACCTTCTCCAAAGGAGGCGTAGCCATCACCGGCTCTGGACGAAAGAAGCGCAAGAACTACCCCGTATCATGGGGTTGCGCAACCGACAAGATGAAGATGAAGAAGCGCGTCTTGTGCGTATACGACGGCCAGAGAAGGCTGTGGAAAGACGACATGATGCTCGATCAAGAGTTTGAAGTGCGCATGAAGCTGCCTGACGGCAAGTCTTACGTCACAGATCTGGACGTTCAGACCTTCAACCGCGCAGATGCCCTGCATTCCGCGACGAGGGAGGAGAGAGGACCGTGGGTGCCCGACAACATCGTCGGCGGCATCAACGGTGTGAGCATGGAGACAGCACCACTAGAGTGGGGTCTCTGAGTACGAATAGAGATACGACATTTGCTTTTGCTGCGAGCGTTTTGAGCGATACGGATGGGATCTACAAAAGGTTGCAAGACAGCCCGTACACAGACACGGCATGATGAACGAACGAACACCCCAACGAACTTCTTTGCTGTACTACCAAGCTTGTAGCTTTTGTATTCTTGTACTTTTCTCGATCGATACCACTGGGGCTTTTGGAGTTTGCGCTTGCGAGCGAGATGTAATGGACGTGCTGGACGCGAAGACATAGTATCTGAATCTATTGACTATTACCATCATGATACTCGCACACACGTGATCTGTGACTGCTTTAAACTCTTTATTACTTGACTACACGTAACTTATACATACCCATCCCGTCGAAACCGACTACCCACACATCTGAAGCTCCGAGGAGGTCCAACTACCCCAGGGCGTGGAAGGAGCTGACATCAACTACGCCCCGGACCTGCGTCGTAGATCTCCCCAAAGTATGGTCTCTGGAAATTTCGGCTCTCATACCCGTTACTCAAAGTAAGCTGCCACAAATTTCCGATGACAAGTTTATCCAGGGCAAGCAGCAGGGCGTTACCCGTTGCGTTGGCCTGGATTCAGCCTCAGCCACAGCTGACCGTGTGTGTGTGGATAAAGTATGGGACGGACGGCTGGTCGTTTTTCGATACCGGAATATCGGGTCCGCCTAAGCGTGGAGAATGCATTGACGCAAAGGATTGTTTTTCTATGGGGGTATGTTTGGTTGTTACAGTGGCGTGGAGGGTCTGCGGGTGCGTGCTCGTGGGGGACGCTGACGCTTTGGCGATGCAGGAGGGCATTGAACTGGATTTGTTTTCGTAGCTAGAGAGGTTATGCGAAGACGAAAGTCTAGAGGTTTGCAGGCCTAGGCAGCGTAGCCATAAGCAAGTATCGAGTGCCTGCATGGCCGTGTTTCAACGATATGTACTCTCACGGCCTCGTCCTGGCTATTGTCGAGTCTAGATGCATATGCGGTGTTGTCTTCAGAAACAACGCTTGAGATGTCTGGACAACTCCGCGGCCAGATTATCGCGCCAGGGTTGCTTCACTCAATCCATGCTGCAGGTGGGAGAAGGGAAAGGCCACAAGCGCCCCCGTGACTGCGCGTCGTGATGGAACCTTTGAAAGTGGGCGGAGCGGCGAGTGAAGGTCCGTGCTCAGTTCCCCGCGGTGGGAAGGCAGCAGCGACCTAGACAGCTTGTAGCTCCATCGACTCCCAGCAGTACGCCGCAACCACGCCCTCTCTCCCTCTCACAACACTGCCACCATGGCTTCGAATATCGAGCAATCGCCTTTCTTCCAGGACCAGAGGTCAAAGGGCGAAATCGTGGTTAAGGGTATGACATAGCCAATACAACAATGGCGCATGTTCGCTAACTCCGATAGACCCTCCCAAGTTTGACCTAGAATCATACATTGCCAACTACACCGGTACGTCTCTTACACTGTCTCTCTAAATATCTGTATACTAATTCATCTTGTAGGGTACACACGAATCGACCGCCTGCACCACATCGGCGCGCACTCGCCATACCTCGCCGCCGACGCATACCGCCTTGCCATCGCCGAGGCAAAGAAGGGCAAGAATGTTGCTCTATACCAGAGTCTAGTAGAGGAATACAGTCGCATATCACCACAAGACGGTGCTTCTGTGGTCGACACGACATGGGTTGAGAGGCAGACGAGGATGGTGCGCGAGGAGCACGACCGGCTAGAGCACGAGTTGAAGTCATACAAGAACAACCTGATCAAGGAGAGCATACGAGTAAGTGGAGACATCGGGAAAATAGGTGCCATATACTTACACTCTGCAGATGGGCAATGAAGACCTCGGTCACTTCTACTACGACACCGGCGACTTCAGCAGCGCACATAAGGCCTACATGAAGATGCGCGAACACTGCACCTCCCCCAAGCACCTCGCCGATATGACCCTCCGCCTCGTATACGTTAGCATCGCACAGAAGTCATGGACAACTGTACTGGCCAACCTGGCCAAGTCGGAAGCCACCCAGCTCAAAGGCGATGAGAAGGCTAAGCTGGAGCCCATCATCTCTGCTTGCAGCGGTCTATGTCACATGGCTACCGGCAACTACCGCGAAGCTGCGACAGCTTTCCTCGGTACCTCAGCGGCATATTTGACTGCAGAGCCAGCAGCAAACATTACATGGCAGAAGGAGGTCATCTCAGGCAATGACATCGCCGTATATGGCGGTCTCTGCGCGCTTGCCTACATGGACCGTACCGACCTACAAAACAAGGTGTTAGCAAACAGCGAATTCCGCAACTTCCTTGAGCTCGAACCCCATATCCGCCGCGCCATCAATCTCTTCTGCAACTCAAAGTATAGCGCCTGTCTCGAAGTGCTCGAAGGCTACCGCAACGACTACCTCCTCGACCTCTACCTCTCCAAGATGCTCAACACAATTTACAGCCGGATCAGGAGGAAGAGCATTGTCCAGTACTTCATACCTTTTAGCTGCGTCACGCTTGACGAGATGGCCTCCAAGTTCCCGCCAGCACAAGGCCGAACCATCGACGAGGACTTGGAGGAGATGATCAACCAACGCCTTCTCAATGCGCGGATAGACCTCGTCGACCGCCTGCTCATCTGCCCACCCACCGACCCCCGCCACGACGTACACGCCGACGCTCTCAAAATGGCCGAAGCATACGACCATACCTTGCGTCTCCGGTTGACGCGTCTCAACATGCAAGCAGCGGGTATGGAGATCTCGTCCCAGAAGATGAACGATAAGTCGTCTGGCATGGGCGGTGGCATCAGTGACACGTTCCGCGGTCTAGGTCAAAAGATCGGGTTCTAGTAGATCATTCATGACAAGACCATTCCGGCGCATGCTACTGAAGCAAGATGGCGCGGCGGCTAGCATTTGCAAGGCGTTTTGGGAGCGGCATGGCGTACATATACAGGCTCTGGGAGAAAGGCCATTAAGCGGCATTCTGGCGTTGGAACCATGATGTAGCGCAGTTTGAGAGCTGAATCAACAAGTTTATCAAGACACATAGTCACAGTCCTACTTCTTCCGTATGTGTTGTATGCAGTGGGTGATCATTCCTTCATTCATATTCGTATATCCTGGGTATCTGGTATGTGTATATATCCTTTCTCAACGCCAAACTTGCTAGATCATGATAAACTCGCTAAGGTAACTGCAATATTTGTCTCGTAAAATGATAATCAGCCACTTCTTTGATAGCAATCAGGCTGCGTGGTGCTTATCTGTAAACACCTGGCCCTCTTGCCGCGGCCCATTGGTCTTGCTGCTGCTGTTGTTGGTTCTGCTGTTGGTTTTGTTGCTGCTGCTGCTGCGGTGCCGCGTTCTGGTACCCATAGTATCCATTCGGCGCCCATGCAAAGTCGCCGCGCCCAAATCCATTGCTCGTATCGATGGCGGGTGCGGGGGGCTGTTGAGGCTGCGTCTGCGGTATGTGTGCGTTCGTCTGTCCCGCTATACTATTCTGCGCCACCATGGGCTGAGTGGCCATAGTGTTGACTGGCAGCGTATTCTGTGGCATGGTTCGGTGGAGGGTTCCGTACGGAGAGTGGTTGGAGTGATTGGCGGTGAAGTAGTTTGGGTGTGTCTGGAGCTGCGTAGTCTGCATTTGCTGCGCGGCTGCTGCTTGGAACTGTTGTTGCGGCGTGAGAGATTGTTGCGGGGGCCCAATCTGCTGAGGCTGTGTCTGCTGAGGTTGTTGCGGCGCGTTCGGTAGGCGTTGTTGAGGTGATTGACTACCCATTTTGTAGGCTAGTTGCTGCTGCGGGCTTCTTATGCCATGCGGAAGGCCCTGATTGAGTTGCTGCAGTTGTTGGCGGTGGTTTGGTATCGACTGTTGACGCTGCAGCTGCTGAGAAGCATGAGGTAGGGCCTGCGCTTGAGCGACATGTGGCCGATGGCGGGACTGTGGTGGGACATGCATTTGCTGTGGCTGCTGCTGCATATGTACTTGTTGTGGTTGTGGTGCGGGCTGCGAATGCGGTTGCGACGGCGGCTGCTGCTGGGCTTTGGATTGCTGCGATCGAGGCCGCGGTCCCATCTGCGGCGTCTGAACAGGAGTAGTCGACGCTCGCTTCTCCGACTCAAACTCTCGTATCTTGGCCTTTGCTTCCTCAAGCTGTTTCTTCAGCATCTCGAGCTCGGACATGGCATTGTTCGCAGATTGACGTGCGGGTTCGGGGGTATTGGTGGGTGGGCGCTGGTCCTCGCCGTTGGCTGGCTCCGAGTAGAAGCACACCCGTTTCTTGTCGTTACAGGTCGAACAGGCAGGTCTTATGCCATCGCACTGCGTATGTCAGCTCCCGTTACTTGAACATGCCATGGGCGCTGTCTTACCTTGGTCTTCTTTGCCTTGCAGACGTCGCAACTATTCCTTGGACGTTTCCGCTGTGGTGCTGCTATGGCCTGCGTTTCAACGTGTAGTGTAGGGCGTGGTCCGGGGTGGGGTCTTTGCGGAGGGGGACGCTGGGGCGGAGGCGGAGGCGGCGGAGGAGGTGGTGGAGTTTCTATGATTGTGTGCTGTGACTCTGCAGGTGGCTGGATCAGCTCCAACAACGAACGCAGACTCTGCTGCCTCAAATCGCTCTCGATTGTGTTGAAGGGCCTCGGGGGCTCTGGTGGAGGGTCGGACCGCTTCTTCTTCAGCACCCTGGGTGTGTCCGGGTCTTCGCTGCTCAGCTGCCTCGAGCGGCTTGCGAGCCTGGCCAGCGCCTCTGGATCGTTCTCCTCAAGATACTTGCGGCGCTTCGAGTCTTTTCGTGGCGGCGGGGCGCGCTCTTCGTATGTCTTGTGTATGGGCACATGCTTGTAGAAGACGTCGAGCGTCTGTTTGGTGGCCGAGAACTTGATGGACAGGACGCCTTTGCAGTCGTAAACGGGCTTCGTGGCGCGCTTTCCCTGCTTGGTGCCCTTGCCGTTGGCAGCGCGGTCCTTGTTGAGCAGCGAGTCGTTGCAGTAGTAGGAGAAGCGGTAGCTGTCGTCCTCCCGGCTGATCCAGCAGTTGTGGAAGCTGTAGCGGTATCCGTCGATCCTCTGTATCATGTCCACGCAGCACTTGGCAACCGCCCTCTGCTTGCGCATCCTCACCTTGGAGTCCTCCGGCGTCGGCTGCAGCGCCTCTCTGACGCTCAATGCGACTTTCTGCTCCGCCGTCTTGGACGCGCCATTGTTGGGCTCAATAGACTCGGCATAGCTGTGCCCCAGCGCGGCAGTGGGGTCCGCGAGAGAGTGGTACTGCGCAGGGAAATGCGCAGACTGGTAGCCGGGTGGTGCATGGTTGTATTGATGGGCGAGGTGGGGTGGTGGGTGTTGTTGTTGCAGCGGCGGCGGCGGCTGAGTTGCCTGCTGAGGCTGCTGGGACGGCGTCTGCTTAGTCGCCAGCGGGACTGCGAAAGACGTGTCGATATCGAAGGCGAATTGGGCCTCGGTGTGCTCAGGCTCCTTGGGGGGACTCCTCAGGTATTCGCGCAACGACGTCTCGAATTGGTCGAGCGAGCGCACAGGGCCAAAGGACACGATCTTGGCCTGCGAGTCCTTTGGCTGCCGCCCTCGTTGGAGCTGCACCGGGGCCTGAGGCCACAGCGCCTGGTCGTTGGCATCGTGTGCACTCGTGGGTTGAGCATGGACGGCGGCCATGAGTGGAGCCACCCGGGGTAGTGAATAAGGAGCTTTTGAGATAGCCGTCTCCCGGTACCGTGCAAGCCTTGGCGAGAGCCCTAGACGCGATCATCAACATTCATGGCGAGACTGACGGATGCCGAAGACGTGCTAGAGGCGCGTAGGCATGGCGGGAAGTATCAGAGTTTAGATGGTAGTAGTCTAGCAGCTTCACCGCGTCTAGATACTCTACGACGCCATCAAAGCACGGGTGTAGGCATCGGAGCGTGCCTAGTCCGATGACGCATCATACAACCCGAACCTGCATGATTCTCTAGGTTGACATCGCGTCGCTTGCCATAGTGCGGATACCCTCTGTGGGCACGCATCAGAGAACTACATATGTTTGTTTCTTTTGTTCAACGTGTGGGTGAACATGTCAGGTATCTGCATACCTGCGCCATGTGGCGCTGTTCATTCCAAATCACAATATCACGTAGCAGCCATATGTCAATATTGAGAGAACCGTGTATTTGTTTCATTTTACTGACTTCGTAATCCCTCCTAATCAGGTAAGGTCCTCAAACCTAGCACTATGAGGTTGAAGCCCACAATTCCTGACTTCCGCGTCATACCCTAGCATCCGCCGCCAGCGTGTAATGGTTCTTACACATCTGAGTAACACCCAAGTGCGACAGGCACTCACGCTCATGCTGAAGGAAGAACGCGTCGTTGAGTTTGAAGATCTTGTTACAACGCCCACAGCGCACGGCAAGTTTCCAGAAAGCCCAGCAGACATCCAAGTGATCCCACATATCCTTGCGTTCGTACGATTGAAGGCAATGGTAGCACTTTCTGTGCCGATCGTCAGGGTTCTCTACTGGACGTGCAATGCCTATGTGCTTGAAATCAGGGTCGAAACATGGGAGCTTCATCTCAATGAGCTCGTCATTGCTTTGCATTTTCTTCATGTTGGTCTCTTCCCAAGAATTGTACCAATGTTTTTTCCTTTTTTTTGCCGGGGATTTGGAACTCATTGGACGATAGGGATGCTTTTGTAGTCGGCATAACTGGTTGTTTGCCCTTGAGCGCCTTGCCAATGGCAGCGTCAGCAGTAGAAATTACCTTATCAGCGAAAGAACGGCTAGACGCATCGCTGTTCTGTTTTCCTTGATCAGTCTTAGACCCTCTTGCCCAGGACGATGTATGATGTATTGCTATCTCCTTCTCAAGCTGAGCAATCCTCCCTTGAGCGATACGGAGGGCTGCGTCGTCGTCGCGCTTCTGCTTTCGCATGGTTTCAATCTCTTCATTCTTCAGCTGTATCGCTCGGAGGAAGACATCCAGGGGTACTTGTTGTTCGCTGTTGCTTCCCGCCATTGTTGTTTGGGTGATAGTGTAGGGAAGGCGAATATCCGGGTAATACTAGGCAAAGGGTCGATATGGTGTAGAAATAGGGCAGTGGGGGAATGGTATTTCTATGGCTTCAATTGGGTCCAGATCGCAGATTTCTAGAACTTTGTAAAGCAAACCGCTTGTTGGCAGAGGTTGTCACGGAGCTGGAGCAGAGAGTAGTTCTTTCTGATGTTTTGCGAAGGCCAGCATGAGCCAGAATGGTGCAGTCACTGAGAGTTCAGAAAGCACAAATTGGAGCCTGTCTTTCAATGTCATAGATTGCTTCAACAGTAGAATGGTAGCCGCAACTCTTGCTAGTATTGATACTGTAGAGAGGGGCAAGCTATGCTCGACTGGCTTGGTGTCTGTAAGAAAGCTGATAGAAAGAGCTGGCCAGAATGAGGACCTACCAAGATGTCTTGTTTGCCAGTGATAAATTCCAGTCGACAGACGTCAATCGAACAGAGGCTATTCTCCAGAACTCCGTGGCATAAGTCCAGGGCGGCCGCACTGGCCCGAGCTCCATGTCGAACAATTCTGCTTCCAGGGATCGTAACGGAGTAGAAAGGAGTTGCTATCAATCCGGTACTCAATAAACGCAATATCCGTCTTCAGGCTTCTTCGTGTTTCCCCAAGAGGTTTCTGGCTTGAGAAAGTCTTCATCCTCCTCTTCCAAACCCCGCCCATCTACCAATCATCATCACTATCCTCCCCCGCAATATCCCCTCCCTTAATCCTATCCACCACCCTCTTAACCCCCCTCTCCACACTCTCCCCCTCAATCGCACACCCCTCATGCCAAACAATCGCATCCATAACACCATCCATAAACCACATCAGCGTCGGCACAAAGCTCACATCTAGCATATTGCCGAGATCAGGCAGTGAATACATGTCGAAGCAGTAAATGTCGACTACATCGTACTGTTCGTAGGATGTTGACGGAAGTAGCTTTTGCAGGGCCGTGGCTACCTCGTTAGTGGTTTCGTCTTCGGGCCAGTAGGCTAGCAGGACGGTTTTGCCGGCTGTGGCTTTGATGCAGGCGGCGTATTCGGCTAGGTTGGTGATTTGGGAGAAATGCGCCATTGTGAGGGATGTGTTGGTTTTGTGGTGGGTTGGTTGTGTGAGGGTTGTATGTAGATGGGGCTGAGCTAAGCTTTTGTTCGGTGCTGGTGTCGCCCCTCATCCACGCGGGGATCCACGCTCTACCATGTACACGCCATACGATGATCGTTTAGTCGATCTCTAGCGCGACAACCCCAAACCCGAACTGGGAGAATGGTGATATCTTTCGTCGAATTGTCAGTGCTGCAGCTCGGTTGCAATGGCGATAGGGAGGCTGTTTGACGCGTCCCCGTACGCGACGAAGCGCGACTTCTCAGCAGAACGCGTTGGACGAGAGGAATATTCTTTCGCTAAGTACCAGCTATAACGCCAATGATCTGCATAACGTATGTCACATAGAACACTCATTCTACACGCATGTTCGCTGACAAACTATAGCTACAGAGACTTGGTCTATTCGCTTTCGCCAATGCCTTCCTCGATCTCCAGCCCTCCAATGTCAACCACATTCCCCGCGCGATAGTCTTAATATGAACGGTCATTCCATGAAAAATCCCAGACATGTCGCGTAGCAGGACAATCATCACGTCGAGCGCGCCGGCGCCTACGACCCGAAGACCGCCGTGACATGACATACGCAACGAAGCTGCTTCCAGCCAGCATGCACAGGGCTATCGTCAGGAAGACGAGGGACATGCAGCATATTTGGAACAAGACCAATGGTTCGCAGATCATGATGTCCTGGACCATGCGATGTCCAACAATACCATCAAGGCAGTTGATGCGCGGCCATGCAGCTGCAGCACCGTCCGTGAGATGGTAGCACGCATGTATCTCGTGGATGGTGGAAAGGCATTCAAGCCAGAAGCCCGTGGAGACATGTTGAGTTCAGAGAGTACGTTGGACCTGACAATCTAAACAGGAAGGGGACACGCGATGAACAATAAAGTAAATATGCAACACTATCTCAGTCTTTTCGTCAACAGCCCGTCCTTCCTTCCCGTGGTCTAGTTCACTCAGCACCTGGGACCCTCGTTCTCGTAATAGTGCTGGTCACAGTGCTCGTCCTGACAACCGCGCTGGAAACTGTCCTTGTGACTGTCGTACTAGCTGGGCCCCTGGTAATGAAGCACGAGCATGCAGAGGATATCTCGCCGCTGCCGAGGCCAAGCGAGATGTGGATGCCCCCTGGCAAACCAAGCGAGATGTCCAGTTGACGCTTACGTACCGGTAGCTCTGCGGGGCATGCGGCATCGTAGAATGTGTACGGGCTCATGGGATTGTAGTTGGTGTTGTCGATACTACGAATACAGTCAGCAAGAGGTTGGGACTACGCACAGGAGTTGGACTTACGCAGTAACGTCGAAAAGCATGCAGTTGGCTTCACCGTAGCCAAAACTCAGGCACTTGCTATCGGCCTTGCAGAGCGCGCTACAGGCTTGGAACGTGTTCTTCGTACCGCTGGACTCGAAGTAGTAGGCTGGCGTGGTCTTGACGTATGCTACAATGCCGCAGCTTGGTGTGCCTGTGGGCGTGCTGTGGAGATGTTAGCTATTTACAGTGTGCGAGATTGTGGGCTATAGGGACGTACGGAGATGGGCTCGAGACGAGCGTTGAGGATACGATCGTGGAAGAAGGCTGTATAGGAGTGGGCGAAGATGATGGCTTGGGTGTTGAAGATGAAGAAGGCTTTGGAGTTGAAGACGAAGACGGTGTTGGAGTTGACGACGATGTAGGCCTTGGCGTAGACGATGGCGTTGGCTTAGGGGTGGCACTGGGCGTCGGAGTAGAAGTAGGTGTTGGCCGTACAGTTACCGTGGTCTTTCGAGTGGTAGTAGTGGTGGTGGTGACGCCACTGGTTATGGTGGAAGTTGCGGTTCCCGAACGGAGGATGTTGCTACAGAAGAGTGCCGCTTCAGACGTATGCCCTTCAAACGCGTCCAATCCACAGTCTTCCACTAATGATGTTGTTAGACTGCTTTGGCGTCATGCGAAACGAATTCATACCATCAGGATATCCAAACTGCCTCTTTATGCGACTAGACGCTCCTACACTCGCAGTGAGCGCTACCGCCAAACCTATGGAAAACTTCATAATGTCGTTTCTGGCCTTGGCTAAAAGTTGACTTTGGGGGGATGAGTTGGTACCGGGATTGATGCTGAACGTTCGTGTCTTATAGACACTATCCATACCTGCGACTGCAACATTTTCCCACTAACGAAGCGGCTGAGCTGAGTATTGCATCTCGCATTTCATTTGGATAGATGAACCACAGACCCCTTGCCTGCCTCGGTGTTCTGGCTCAGACAAGGTGGGCTAGAACGCGTACATTCCTGCCACCGCTATAAATGAACACGAGAACGTGACCGTCGCCCGCCGGCAGATGTTGATCGACTGATGTCTACCGAGCAGAAGTTTGCACTTCTTCCTGCAGCCAGGCAGGTGGCTTTCCCGATGTTACGGTCCGAGAGTGAATTGGCCAATCAGCAACCTTCTCGAGATTGAAGGCGAAATATCGAAAAGTATGGGGAATTAGGCTTAAAGTAAAAGTGCGGACAGGGCTGCCGTAGTTGGACCCTTTATCCCTACGCATCCCGGCAAAATTGAACTGCGTTGAGCGAATATGTTAGTGCTGCTGCGCAAAAATAGCGACAATGTCCACTTGGTGCAGAACTTTGCATTAGAGCTCTTCGCTAAGATGCATACAGATCTGATCTGACTTCCTGACTCCACGCTATTTGCACGGCTTTGCACCAGAAGATGCGGGCCAGACACTTCGTATAACTGAACCTCTATGCCTGTTCAGGTACGGACCGAGACGGACGTACTGACTGCGTTACACGGGAAGGCACAGAAAACTTCGGTTTGAGTATTCTCGTGAACAGTCCAAAAAGCAATGAGATATGCGAGGGAGAGACTGAACAAGTGCGCTGTAATCTACATCAATACAACGACGAGATCTGGTAACATCCCAAGACGATGTAGACTTTTAGGTGTTGTATTGATAATTGGTGTCTAACATTTTCTTTGGACGGTGTACAGAGATGAAGCGCGCTATCCACGGCGTACGACAAACCACAGCCGCCTTGTACTGTCGTCCAGATGGAATTTCTGGTGGTCCCTACCCAGCGGCTTGAGCTTGGCATCCACGGTGAAGTTGATACCGAGATCATTGCCTATCTCGTTCCACATCTTTTGAAAGCTCTCCACATTATGTCGATACATCGTGCCTGTAGGACCTTCCTTCTCGAGGGGCTCGGTGGCTCCGACCTGTCGACCGAGTATCATCGAGCCTGGTCGCGGGCACAGTAACGCGACCACGGCTTTGGAGACTTGGACTTGTTTCTCGTATCCCCACAGATGGAAGAATGACCCTGCATACACCATATCCATCTGACCTTGGATATTCGTGAGCGCTGACTGAGGGTCGAAGATATCCGCTGTCATGAATCTCGTCTTGAGCTTCTCTCGATCCCGAAACAACTCATAGCCCAGGTCGATGAAGTCCGGCTGTAGGTCGCAACCGTATAGATTTTCAGTCGGTGCTCCATCGTTCGCAAGCAAACGAATGGTCTGGCCAACGCAGCAAGCCATATCTAGCAGCTTTTGACCTTTTTGTAGGCGTTCCACGATCTCTTTGCGCTCGTCCGGGAGCTCGGAAAAACTGGGGTCGAGAAACCGAAACTGCCCAATACAAGGATATGGATGGACCTTCCAGGCTTTCTCACGAAGTTGGACAACATGATCGAGTACGTCATCTGATGGGATTCCACTCCACGTTTCGAGAAGGCGCTGGGTCTCGGGAGGGATATGGTCGTGTGAAGGGTTTTCTTCGAACCAAGCAGGCATCGTGATCTCGGGCTCTTTGATATCGGTCATCCTGGTATGTACCGTGCCAGCTTTCGTAAGATGCGATAGTGATGTCGGCACCTGGGCAGGCACGGCTGGTTTGCTGTACTTCCGTACTAGCGCCACGCTAGTTGTTATTTCCGTGCCCGACCCGTGAGCCATCGCACCTTCGTCCCCTGATTCCATCCGGACTCACAGCCCGCCCTCCGCATGTACAACGTCGACGACCTTTGGAGAGACCAAAATAACTGCCCAAATTACTCGCAATCATACCTTTCGTCTTTGATACTATTCAACAGGCGGCCGTTCTTGACGATTCAGAAGTCGCGTACTGTCTGCAGTGGTGGAAGCCCTGGAGGCTACGAGATCCTTGGGAACGCTGAAGCATGTCGACTCAGCAAAACTTGTTCTTCAGAGCCGTTATGGAAACACTCCACGATTCCGTTGAAACCTTTCTGCATACCAACAACCTGGCCGGATAACGATCAAAGTTTGGCTTGCGACAGAACAATAACCTCCCAATGTCCCAATCTGGCCGGGTTTTCTCATTGATAAACTTCGGCGAAAGAGACCGCTGATAACAGTGTCGACCAAGTTCTCACACTAAGGGGAATTTTACATCTGACCTTTTTGTGCAACTGAACGGAAGACACGGGTTTGGCGTGTTGCTCATGAACGACGTACAGGAATGGAACTTCGCGACCACCATGCCAGATGCACGATATCTTGACCTTGCCAGCTTACTTATTTGTCAGGAACAACCGGCTTTCTGGGCATCATCAGTCAATACACATGTGGAGCTGTGCCTCAGGTAGCCCAATAGCATTCCGTCATGTGTAGCACAAAGCGGCTAACATGTTCATTGGAGTCGTATTTGCCAGAGGCATACCGCAGCCGAAATGACATGTCTACTGTCGTTGAAGGCGTCATATCCAGTGGGCCTGAAGACACTCCGCACGTAACGTCTCAGGCTACATCCGAGCTGTACGTACCCACCAGTTCTCTTGCTACGCCGCCAACAGCCATGCTCAAATCGATCACCGACCCGTCGATAGTGACAGCGTTTGGCTTCATGACGATCATGCCAACCTTTTCATGGGTTCAAGGTTCACAAACCCACATTTCCGACACGATTTATGACGATCACGTACATACCAAGCCAACAGAAAGAGCGTATACTGGGGCTATGGGTAGAACGGCGAACGTAAACGGTACTTCCCTTCCGACGTACTCTTATGACCTGGCAAGCTCGGCTCCCAATAGACCTCGTTATGTTGATGAATTGTGTGGGAGGGTAACGAAGCCTATATATAGTGCTGGACGAAGGACCGGTGAAGAATGCAGATCAACCTCTATCTTTACCTTGAGCCCGTCATTCTCAACGTCTACGCAATGACCGGAAAGACCATAGACACACTTGGACGCCACGACACCGAAAGCAGTACGGATACCGAATCGTGTAAGCTACAGGTGCGCGAGGGTGGGCGTGCGGCATGGCTCACGGTATTCGGCTCCATACTGGTGTACTACGCCTCCTTTGGGGTTATGAACAGCTTTGGTTTCTTCCAGAACTACTATAGCAGCGACTTTCTGAAAGAGACGCCGCCATCGACTATCGCATTCATTGGGACGGTTCAAATGGCGCTCATGAACTTACTGGCTGCTCTTTCCGGTGCTCTTTGTGATCGATATGGTGTTACGGTTAGTACTCGTCCCCGTCACTCCTTGATGAAGACTAACGCCATAGTCAGAACCTCTACCTTGGCTCAGGCGCTGGCACTGTGCTGGCCCTCATCATACTGTCGTTCATACACCCTGGACAATTTTGGTTGGTTCTGATGACGCAAGGCTTGCTGATGGGCTTTACCATTGCTTTCGGTGTGCAGCCAGCAGTCACGGTAGTTGGCCAGCACTTCAAAGAGCGACGTGCCTTGGCTATGGGGTTAGTATCTACAGGGTCGGCACTGGGCGGAATTGGCTTTCCGCTAATGTTCGATCAACTACTGCCCAGATTGGGCTTCCCAAACTCGCTACGCCTGGCTGCTGTCAAGATAGCGTATGTCACAGCCGCCGCATCAGTCTTCTATCAGCTAACTGTCTCAGTGTTTGCTACTTAGTTGCTTTACGTATCTCTACAAGCAAGCCCAGTGGCAAACCGGATCGCAAAGGGCTCGGCTCGCTTATCGACTTCAAAGGATTCCTCGACACACGCTATGCCGTACTATGCATTGGAACGTGGCTTGCTATACTAGGCCTTTGGATCCCGGCGTATTATCTTAAGCCATATGCTAACTCAGTTTACCCTGGTAACAAAGTTAGCGACTACTTCTTGTGCATGCTGAACGGCTCCAGCATTATCGGCGCAACTTTTGGAGGCTTCATAGGAGACCGACTTGGCAGGTTGAACCTACTCTGGCCCATTACCCTCATCTCTGGCTGTCTTTGTCTCTTCCTATGGCTTCTTGGCAACTCCATGGCTACTCTCATTTTCTTCGTCTGCGTATACGGCTTTTTGACTAGCAATGTCACTGCTCTCCCGCCCTCGATAATCGGCCACATCACACCTGACGACAAGTTGGGAGCGCGCATTGGAGCTTTTTACAGCGTTATCGCTATAGCGAGTCTTGTTGGTACGCCTGTTGGGGGCGCACTCATCACGGATCACGACACAAAGGATGGATATCGATGGTTGATTGTGTTTTCGGTAAGCTGCTTTCTAAGTATAGGCATATGGCCGATGGAGTCACTAACCGGCGACAGGGTGCCGCGCTCCTCATCGGATCAGCTTTCATGTTCATCAGCCGGATGCTACATGATAAGGCTTTAAACACGAAGTGGTAGACATGTAGTCGCCTCGCTAGTAGACGAAAAGAAGTTTTGGATAAAGATGTTGAGTAAACTCAGGATGAAGACGAACTTCATTCCACATAATGGGGCTAGGCCGGTCATATGATATCCTTCACAACACTCGCCCTCAGATAGAGCTGGGATGGAGTACCTCCCGGCACGATATTTCACATCGACATTTCGGGGGCCAGAAGTCGTCTGGGATGACTTCTCGCACCTCTTCACCCTTCTCTTTCTTCTCAAGGCCAGGAACAACAGCCTCCTCCAGCTCTACTCCACCCATATCTTCTTTGTATAGCTGTCCAAGCTCCTCAGTAGTAATCTTCAGCTCTTTCTTTGCAGCATCGCGGAACTTCAGGAACCTGATCTGCTCATCCTCATCCATGAATCCATGGAATTTGACGACATCGTATGGGGCTAATACATCGGCAGCGCTCTCATAGATGAGCCGATGAAGAGTACGCGGACAGTTGAATGGTTCTCCATAGAAGATGCTGACCGGTCGCTGTCTTAGATCATCCTCTAGATATCCACTTGCATCCGGTAGCCTGAAGATCACCTCATTCAAGTGAGGAAGCCTCTCAAAGACTTCGTAGCTTGTGTCATGTGGCTTCAAGTGCTGTGCGAACGATCCAGCAGTAACCTTGAAGAAGCACAGCGCGTGAATGAAAGACAATTGTAGGTAGATCTTGTGGATTCCATGACTGAAAGTAGCGAATCGGTCCAATTGCGGGTAGATCTTGGGGAACGTCTTGTACAGTGTTTCCAACTCTCTGGCCTTCTCGTCGGATGGAAGACTGTTCGCTTTGGTCAACTGACGATGCTCTCCTAGTCGGCGGATGGTGCGCTTGAAGCTAAAGTAGCTCTCGGCGACGATGCACAAGCCGTTGCTGAACTCCAAGTCGCTGCTTCCCGAGAAGCACAGACGCAAGCTGATCGCACGAACTTGGTGCGAGACAGTGAGGAGAGACGCCCATCTTCCCAGCTGACCGACTACCTCAGGTGCGCCTTGTTTGACATGGCGGACGCGGCCCCTGGACTTCTTCTGTATAGGTAGTGGAGGAGACTGATGCATGCAGAACATAAGGATTCGCTCTTTGACCTCCGTGGGAAGTCCGGTCCAATTGAAGGATTGGCCGTTGGCATGCCACCACTGGTACATGATCTCGTCGGACGCTGGTCCAGCAATCGGGGGGAACTCAGCCTCGAAGAAACGCACAAGCGGTACGAACTTGTTCCTCGACCATACCTGCACCGCTCCCTTCATGACCTTTCCCTTTTCGCGTCCACGCTTCGCGATCTTCGGGCGACAGACGGCGAAGATGGGGTCGGTACCGAAGTTGTAGAAGCCCACGCAGAGTTGGAAGTCTCCATCGATATTGGCGAATCGATCTGGGTTTGAGGTGTGAGTCGCTTGGCATACGTCGATGGGGACGTTGAAGTGTGCGGCGGACTGGAGGCGGTACTTCCACGCAGCTTCGCGGATGTTCTCGATGAATGGATGTTGGAGGAGGGGAGGGTCTTGCCAAGCGCCGGGCGAGAAGTTGATGCTGAAACTCATTTTAATGTGAATACGAGGCATCAGCGATTGGTGGTAGAGTGGGTGGAGTGGAAGTTGGCGGCAATGTGTGAGGCGTGAGGTAGAAGGTAGAAGGTAGAAGGTAGTAGGATGAAGGTTGAAGGTAGAAGGTTTAGGGTAGTAGAATGCAAGTTGAGGGTAGAAGGATGAGGGTAGAAGGATGGCAGCTGCTCTGACTCTGAGATCTTATACCCACCAGAGTCTCGGCGGTGTGGGTACTGGCGGGTTGAAGGTAAGAAGTTCATGGGAATAACGCTAGGCGCCAGGCATCTACTTGCGCCGCACAATAGGTATGAAGTGAGAGGGAAAAGATTGCTATTGTCTCAATAAGCCAGTAAAGATAAGTGGCATACGACCGACTATTTCGAATAGATATTGTCCTGAGACGAGTGCAAATAGAGCAATGGGCGCATACGTTGCGCTGCTTCTACTCTTCTGTTGTGTGTTGATGTAATGTAGCCACCTAGATACACGATTACGGACTACAATAGCATTCAGCGCTCTTGTCGCGTTCCATCTCTCTTCAGTGCCAGCCGCTGTAAAGAACATATTCAAAATAGGTTCATCCTTCATTTGATTAGATATAATATTGCAATGAGGAAGTGCCAAAATGCCTGAAATGTTACTGTCATCGGAGATCAACTTCTTGCCCTCACTCTCTCCCGACAACTCCCACAACCAGTATCTTTACTATACCGCTCACCGCCGATGCCCGTCGTCATCATACCACCACATATACGATATGCTGGCTCACTCAACACGGACCAACCAGTCCTTGGGTTGTACCTCCATCCGAGGTTACACATCCAAAAGCGTCTTGTGACGGAAACGTGCATCGCGAACCCAACACCGCACTGCCAGCGGCCCTGCAAACGCAATCACCTTTCCGTTTTTCTCGTCGACCCCAAGACTCGTATTCGCGGGAACGGTAATTTCGTTTGACGCTGACGGTTGCATCCCGGCTGTCGAGATCCCGTATAACCGATGCGCTCCGCGGTTGTGGCACGTTACTTCCAGTGTGAGTTTTGGAATCGGAATGACTGTTCCGAGAGGGTGGGGCTGCGGCGGATGGAGGAGGTTAGTGAGGAGAGGTGGAGTCTGGGTTTGCGATTGGGAGGTTGAAGAGTTTGGCTGTGGTGGATTGGTGAGTGAGCGGGAAAGCATGTGAGTAGGCTTGCTGAAAGGGTATGTTGTAGGCTTTGGAGAGGATTATGTCGAGAGGGTTCTGATGGACAGGAGCGGAAGCTTCCCATTCTTACGCTAACAATCGATGTTATGCTTCGTTGAGACTATGCTCTCACGGTTTTTCGGACTGGGGTTTTGTCAGCAGCTGCAATTGATGTATGCCCATCTCACTCACATCATCTACCCCGTAACTAATGTCAATGCATCCGCCATGCCTCATTCGCCGTTCAATTCCACAGCACCGGGGTATATACAGCATCCTTCCTCCCGTCCCGCACCACCCTTCGCGCGCTTCAAAAAATATAGCCCATCATCTCTCACGCCCTCACCAAACATCCTCAGCCCCCACCTCCCACTCCTCCCCATCCTTTCTAACACACTCCCCCTTCTCATCCCTACTACAACTCTTCCGCATATCCAACGCATCCTCGCCATCATTATAATAATCCTTGACAACCCTGTACACACTATACCCCATCTTGCGATACAACTCCTTGGCAATCTCATTGCTCCGGCGCACAAACAAATCCACAAACCACGCGTTGGCCGCATCGGACGATTGTTCGAGCGCAGATGACAGCGCGGTTGCGTAGCCGAGGCGGCGCGCGGAGGGGGCGACGGTGAGGGCGGTGATGTGGCCGTGGTAGGGGAGGTAGTTGGGGTATTGGACGCCGGTTGTGGAGGGCTTGTAGGGTTTTATCGGGGGGTCGAAGGGCGAGGATTCGAGTTTGCCTAGGACTTGGGGGGTGTTAGTGGATGTTGCGCATCTTCACATGTAGAAGGAATAAGAGTTGTCTGGTGTCTTACTGTAGCCTTCAATCTCGCCGTCCATGCCTTCTATTATCTGGCATAGCTCGGGCCATTTTGTCAGGTACTCGAGGTAGAAACCGATGTTGTATGTTTCTGTGAGGTGGTCGAGGTTGCATTGAGATACTCGAAGGAGGTCGGTTGGGCGCATTGGTCGTACTGTCGCCATGGTGGGAGATGGGGTGTGTTTGGGCACGAAGCGACACGTCGGGGGTGGTGGTGGGGTCGTTGTTGACGCGAGGTGTTGGAGGGATGATGCATGGCGGCACTCCCGCGGCGAAGACTCGCTTACACTCGCTGGCCTGCTCTTGCGCAAATGCGCCCTATCACTTGCCCATTATTTTGATCTTGTTTGTGATATATATTAAGAATTATGGACATATGAAAATTAACGCCGCTATCGATGCTATGCTTAAGTTACGTTTACAGAATGGGTATAGAGCAGATGAACAACAGCGCAGTACAGCCCGACCACCCGGTCTATATATCCTTCATCTTCTTTTCATATGCGACCATCTCGTTCTCAGGCTCAACACTCTTCATGAGGTATCTCTCTCAGTATATTCTTGTTGCGCCGTCTCTTATCTCCATGCGAACCGGTGTTGCCGTTCCCAACGCTGCCTCTTCCTCTTCCTGAAAGGGAATCAGCAGTGCTAGATGCGGAAAGAATCAACACTAGCCTGTGCCCCGTTGACATAGTCTTTGACCGACGACGCGCCTGATCGGATGCCACGCTGATCATAGGTCATTGGGCTTTGCGCTCGCGTCGGAGTCGAGGGGTTGCGCAAGTTGTCGTAATGACGGGATACGCCATTGCCGTTCGCATAAGGAGACGCCCCACGTGAGGGGGTACGCTGGCTGCTGGTATCGTTGCCGTACTCATCGAATCGAGGAGTCTGGTAGGGTCGCCTGTCTCCCGTTAAGCTGTTGCCGCGGATGTCGTTGGGTATAGGCGGTGCTTGGCGGAATCTGCGATGCGGCGCAGAGTGCTCCTTCTCGTCAACGAGGACCACCATCCAGACGCCCACAGACCCGTTCTGTCCGAGCAGCGGAGTGCAGTGTATCCACCTGGGTCGGCCCTCTTCGTAAGAGTCTTCGAGGTCTGATACGGCGTGCGGCAGCCAGCGAATCTTCGCTGTGACACCACGCGACCCATCTGCAAGCGCATCGCTGAGAGAGTCTCGGACCCGGTTACTTCCGCCGATGCGATCGAGGAAACGCGACTGGAGAATGCCGGGGACACGGAGAGATGGGGATGTGAAGAGAATACGCAGGGAAGGCGCCGGGCGCACAACGAGGTACTAAATTATGTCAGTCTCCTCGCATTGTCACGTAGAAACGGCAGCCACTTACGTGTTTGTATGGGCCAGACAGCCTGCCGTCTGCCTTGTTGATCGCTGGCTTCTCAGCCCTGTCAACGTCAAAGGTCGATTGGTCCTGGATCAGCAGTCTGGGTTTGTGCTGCATGCTCGCATCGTCCTGTTCTTCCAGATGTTCTCTATGCATGTTGCCGCCGTACTTGCGCACGGTGTCCAACTCGGTGTTATTGAACATCTCACTGAGCGCCTGGAATTCATCTTTCTGAGGCTCCTTCTCTTTCTGGCCCTCCTCTTCATCGAGCATGCGCCGGAAAGCCTCGAGATCGGTGCTGTCCTTTACGAGACCAGAGATGTCGATTTGCGCGCCAATAAAGTATCGTAGAGTTCCCCGCGAATCAAGAAGAGGCGCAATCATCAAAAGGTTCATAAATGGCGATCCATCACGGCGACTGTGTTGAAGTCAACAAATGCTCACCAATGAAGTCGCAAGAGTGACCTCGGCACTTACTAGTTCAGGAACACCTCGCTGTGGTCTTTGCCTTCGCGGGCCGCTGTGCCAAAGCGCTCAACACTGGCCCGATTCGTCTTCGGGCCTTGGAGAAAGCGACAGTTGCGACCGATGGCATACCCAACGCCGTACTGAGTCGTGCGGTGAAATTCTAGTTTCACGTTAACCAACGGTCAGTTTCAAGGCGCAACGGTAAACTAACCTTCCGACGCAAAGATGATCGGGTTATCAGTCCTAGATGGGTCTGTCAGGCAGAAGACTTCGGCCAGACCCTCGCTAGCCTCACGAAGCATCGGAGGTAAATTTCCTGTTACGCGTTTCGCAATGCTCACGCTAACCACTTGAATGAAGACGTGGGTGATGAAAGCCGGAAGATCGTCACGGACCAGGACGTCAAAGGCCCGATTGGCCTTTTCCTCCAACACTGCGTTCATGGTCCTCCGCGCTGGAGTCTCGGTGAAGTCCAAGCCCTGAATGGGTTCCAGGGCTTCTGCGACGGCGTTGGCATAGCTGATGGCTCGTAGCGCTTTCAGTGCGTCGAGGTAGTAGATGAGAGTAGGAAGCGAGTTGGGCCGGGCGATGCTCAGGAATGACGTAAACCGTAGTAGCGATGCAGTGTCGGCAAAGATGGCCTTTAGATGCTCTCTCGAAAAGAGTTGCTCTGATCTGGTCTCGAGAGAATATTGTGATCGTGAGTTCTCGATGGGTCCGCAGACAAGATCGAATGACTGGGGGTCATCTTCCAGTAATGGCGATAGCCGGTCTCCGTCCTCGATGATATCTGCTTTTTGCTGGAGAGGACCCAGTTGTCGCGTTGCGAAAGACGGGGCGGTGGACTCATATGATATGACTGAGTCGGCTGAGCTTCGTATCGTGGTCGGCTGTTCGTTCATGGGGATTCGTGAGGACAGTATGTTTTGTGGCACGGCACTAGATGTGCGTGACATACTTCGGGTACGCGTCTGTTGCATGTCTGGTGTTACACGTCCGTTGTTAGGCGAAGATGGCTCTGCACTCAGTCGCCGTTGCAATGATATGCGCTTCTTGTTGGCCTGAGGGGTGCTGGAACTATTTGGGGATGAGTAAAAGGAACGAACGAACGAAGGGGGAGAAGAGGGGAGTACCTGGTGCGGGAAGGGATATGGATATCCTTTCTTGTAAAGTCTATCTGTGGAGCGGGAGCA